TTTTTTCAGCATTAGACATGTCATTGCAGAAAAAGTCCTTGTATTTTCTGCCTTTATTTGTGCCAGTCACTAATCTAGCTATTTAGTTATTTAGAACACCTTGATCACAAGCAATTTAATGTACACCTCCCCACTGATTCATGATTACCTATATCCCACTGAAATTAATTTTAGCACTCTGTTCTCATTCTGACAGGCTGTCATTTAAAGAGCAACATATTCTGTCTCAATAGTGACGTGGCTGAGAAGATAGCTGTCATTGGGAAAAGTGCAAACATCTATCCACTGTCTTGGGGGGACTCACCTTGTACAAACACGCAGTGAACAGTCTTAATTTTTTCCATGTATACACATTTGATGGACAAAAGCTGTATCAGGTCTTCTGTTGATGTAAATCAGCCCCTATAAATGGCTATAACATATATAACTACACCTGATTTTAATCAGTGAAACATTTTACCCAATGTAATTCTGAATACATTAGCTATACTACATATAAATCTAAACAGAAGCTTAAAAACTTGTATCTGGAAAGAAAGTCAACAAAGAGATGTATGAAAATGACTTTCAAGCAATCCGTACTCAAAAAAGTTCGTACAAAGAGTAATCTAAAAGTAATCCATATCAGAGTTTACATTCCTGAAAAGCTTTTAATCATGAAGAACAGAGTATGTTATATTGAAATTATACCACAAAACATACTTACAGTGAACTGTGCCTCCTCAGACATGGAATTTGACAAGCACATAGCAGCACTCAGGAGCACTACTGACCTGGAAGTCCTGTCTTCCACCACAGAGATACTTGACAACTTCCTATGACAAAGATCAAAGTTTTAGAGATTTTAGGATCAAAGTTTGGCTTATGGGCTTATTATCATATCTCACAGAATGAGAAGAATATCATCTCCTGCAGCACAAACAGCACCTCTTTGAGCACTCTAGGATTTTGAGGAGAGCCCTCTGAATCTACCCAACAATACAAGAGACTCATAGTTACAAGAATGGCTTATTCTGTGAAGGACCACATTGACATGGAGTCCCAAGACCGATCATGTTATCATCTCCCCCTGCTGATGCCACAATTCGTGGCAGGTGAGCAAACAGAGGAGCACGGTCCTTCCATTAGGAAGGAAGACACGGAAGTAGAGTACACCTGGAACAAACAGTATCATTGAGGTAAGGAATACCTCTGCACCTGAGGAGCAAGACATGGACCAAGCATGCACAGAGGCAGAGTGCATTAGGAGCTATGAAAAGACTGGAAACTTGCTAACCTAGCCTAGCCTCACTGAGAGTGCAAGAGTAAAACTAACTCACAGCAAAAGCTGGCACCACATGATGAACTATATACAGCTGAGGGTTAAGCCCCTAAACAAAATGTTTTCTCTTGAGTGGAGTTCACTGCTTCTTTCCAGATCCAGGATTACCAAGTAATGAAGCTATCACTTCTATAAGTAGGATCTTTTGCACTTTTCGTGTTCTCCCATTCCCTAGCAGCCATGAGATCATCCAGAAGTGTGAATGCCTCTCCACATTACACAGCAGGATCTCCAGTATGGAGCTGAACCATGCTGGCAGGGCGAACCCCAGCCCTAGCCACACAAGGACTTTGCACTTGATTCACCAGTTGCATGGACAGCTCTTTCCATGGGAGACTGGTTATCTGATTTCTTGCTTGCACACAGCGACAATTATTGTCAAGCCTAATATCCACAGTTTTGATTATTTGGTGAAGTAATTGTGTGTAACCTCAACATTACATAGGAATCAAAATAGAAAAGAGGGGGTGAAGAAACAGAGGGAAGATGACCTGTTTTCACAAAAAGGCAAACCTAGATGCCAATTCAAAGCAGCTTGACAACTTCCAGAGGATCTCCACCTCCCTGTCAGAGGCCATGTCTGGCAGATGTCGGCAGCGCCAGTGCCCACGGCACAGGGGCCACATGCCGCTGAGACGCGGCACCCTTGCGCACCTCGGCAGCGAACCGGGGGCCCGAGTCGGGCCGCTCCCTCAGGGCGCAGCCCCGCCATGCGGGGACCCCCGGGCCGGCCGCGGGGAGGGGGAGAGAGCTGCAGGGCGAGGCAGGCAGTACTGCCCCGGCCGCCCATGCTCCTGCAGCCTCCGGGGCGAGGGCGAGCTCCTCCCGCTCCGCGCGTAGCGGACAGGGCTTTGCGCCCCGGCCGCCGGCCAGCCCCTTGCCTGGGGAGAAGGCTGCGGCCCGCGGGGCTCCTGGGCGACAGGCGACAACCGCTGGAGGGTGATGGGGACGCGGGTGTCCGCCGTGGGTTGCCAAAGAGCCGTGCACGCGTGTCCCGCAAGGAGAGCCAACAGTCGCTCGAGGGAAACTAAAAAATAAAAAATACTCAAAGCTGAGTATTCTCCTGGCTTCCCTACAAGGGTGGCAGTCCGACAAGGGCAGTGTCGGGTGATCTCCCTCTGGCTTCAGCCCCGCCGAAGCCCTCCGAGGACGAGGCTGCGGTACACACGGGGATGCCACGGCCACCCCGCGCCCCCCGCCGCTGACCCGGGCAGCCCGGACTGCGGGGGAACCAAGGAGGGAACGGCCAGCGAGCAAATAAACAACTTCCCTCGTGTAAGGAGTTGCCTCGCAGCTGCCTGCAGCTGGCGGTTAACACAGACAGTAAGAGGATCAACTCCATCTCCGCCAGTGCAGCAAAAAGAGGAGGAAAAAAATAAAAGCCCCCTCATTTGCTATTCAGAATTTAGTTAATTTGGATGATAACGGTTAGTGTTTAATCCCATTGTACGAGAATGAATATACCGAAACCTACAAGGCTCCTGGAAGAATAATGCGGCCGGCGGCATGGCACGCAGGGGTGCCCAGGCGGGCAGCCGGCTTTGCCCGCTCCGTCCCGCCGACCGGGCTAGACGCGCCCCGGGGCCACCACCGCCTCCTCCCGCCGAGTCGTTCGGCGCTCCCGACCGGCCCGGAGGGGTGGGAACCATCCCGGGACAGTGGGGCGAGGGCCGGCACCTCGCCTATCCTCCGGCCGCTTCTGGGGAAACGAACGGGCGACAGCGGCGGTGCCACCCGCCGTGCTCACCCGGGCACATGTGGTGGGGATGGTTTCCCCATTTTAAATCGTAAAGGGAAAAGGGTGGAAAAACGCGGAATACAGGAGAGGACGTGGGAGTTTCCGAGAGAACAACTGCCCGAGCTCACATGGCGGGGATATGGCTGTTTACCGCAGCCCTGCCCGGGGCTCGGTGGCGTCGCCCGTGAGGGCACAGCCAGGCTCCGGGCGGCCCCGCCGCCGGCCCGGTCGCTCTCGGCTTTTCCCTCCCCCTCGGGGGTGGTGGAGCCCCGCGGCAGAGCCGGGGCCGGGGGCTGTGGCGGAGCCGGGGGGGGGAAGACGGGAGGGCGGCCCCGCGGTCCGTGCCGGGTTCGGAGGCGCACCGCCGGCCGTGGAGAGGCCCGGGGGGGCCGCGCCCGCCGCCGCGCTGTCGGGGGGGCGGCGGGCGGCGGGGGCGGGCGGCCCCCCCGGCGCGGCGGGGCGGCCCCGGCGGGGGCGGTGCGGGGCGGTGCGGGGCTGTGCGGGGCGGGTCGGGGGCTCGGTGCGCTCGCCAGGCGAGGAGCGCGGCTGCCCGGGCGGAGGGCCGCGGAGAGGAAAGCTAACAATGCTGTGAAAATATGTTTGCAGAAAATAGACAATTGTTGGATTAAACGTATTCAAGTATGAAATAATGCCTTTTTGTGTAAAAAACCTCAGCAATGTGAGCGTACAAAAGTTCCCCTGTGGCAGTTACTTGCTCCCTTTGTGAGCTTTGCGCTCCGGCGTCTCCACTTGGCGCGTTTAACTCGGAGCCCCCCTTTAAACGCGATTGTTTCTTTCTTTTTAATGACATTTACCGGATCAAAACATGCTGTTAATTCGATCAGAAAGCTTTACCCTCCTTAACAATGCCACAATAATTTCTCCTGAAGTTTGTTAAATTGACCAAAATTAGGCAAATGAATAGGGGGTCTGTCGGCGATCCCGCTCGCAGGTGACACCGAATAATGCACTCTCGGACCAGCTGCGATCCCCTCTTTATTTGCCCCTCTTTTCTTTGACCCGCATTATTAAAATTTAGGCCCAATGAAACTATTCATACTTTTCAATGGGACATTTTCCTATAGGATAATAGGCTACAAATTGAGCCTCTCCAAAGGAGAGGGGGAGAGCAGGGGGGGTAAAACAACAACGCACAGACGCGCACACCACACAAAAAAGGAGCGTCGTGTGCCAAAGGCTGGCGAGAGCCTCCCCGGGCCGACGGAAAAAAAAAGGGGGGGTGATGGGGGGGGGGATATCGTGTGCCAGCCCCCCGGTCCCACACCTGCCGGGGTGTCCCCGGCGCATAAAGCGGTGTAAACAAAAAAATCCTCGCTGCCATCTCTTATAAAGATGGACGTGTCACCAAGTCGTGTGAGAAAAGCCTGAGAACAAACGGGGCCACTCCGTCTCCAAGGGTTCTCCCTTGAACTGGGCGGAACAGCCTATTAAGGGCTTACTTAATTACTTTAATGACTCTGGACAGGCTTTAAAATGCAGTCAGCTCCGGGGCTAAGGGGAGGGGTAGGGGGTGCCGGGGATTTGAAGGCTGGCGGCGGGGACGGGGCCGGGGATGCGGCGAGCGGGGCGCAGGGCGCGATACCGCGCCCTGCGCCCCGCTCGCCGCATCCCCGGGCCCATCCCCGCCGCTATTGTGGGACAGTCACGTGTGTCCCCGAGGTCCACGTGGGGCGACACAGCTGGGCCGCCCCCGGCTGCGTGGACGGGGGCGAGGAGGGGGAGAAAGGAAGAAGAGAGAAGAAAAAAAAGCCCCTCATCCCCTCGCCCCCTTCCACCCTGATCTTTAATGCATACACTCCCTCGGCGCCGCTCTCCCGTAATCCTATGGGATCAGCGGGCCCGTGGAGGCCCCCCGGGGTCCCCCCCAAGTAGTGATGGCTTTATAAGGGGGCCGGAGAGAGAGGGGATGCAGAGCCCACCATGGCCTCCAAGCTCAAGGAGCGGAGGGTGAGTCGTCGCCCGCCTTGCGCGCACGGGTCTGCGGGGCCGCCTAGCCGGCCTAGCCCCGAGCCCTTCGCCGCCTTTCCCTTTGAAAAGCCCCCCCACAAAAAACAACTACAGCCCCCTCACAAAAACAAGGCTGCCCTGCCAGGGCCGTCCGCGCAGTCGGGGAGCCACCAGGGCCGCGCGGAGAGGACCGGCCACAGGAGCATCATCCTTCCCGAGACCGCGTCGCGCCCGGCACCGCTGCTCGGAGCGGGGTTGGGGACTGGCTTCCCTGGAGGGGTCGAGACCGGGGCCGGGGGCAGCTGTCACAGCGAGACTGGATCCATCTGTTTTCTCTTCCCCCACTAACGCGCCCCATATGTTTTGCAGAGGACGCCGGTTTCCCACAAAGTGATTGAGAAGCGGAGGAGGGACCGCATCAACCGCTGCCTCACCGAGCTGGGGAAGACGGTGCCCATGGCTCTGGCCAAGCAGGTAGGCAGGGGGGAGAAGCCCCTACGCCCTTTTCTCCCCGGTGCGCCGCGATACCTCCCCCGATACGGCGGGGCTAGGGGGCGGCCCAGTGGAACGCAGAGCAGTCTCAGGAGAGAGGTGATGCCCACCTGCCCTGCCCGTTGCAGAGCTCGGGGAAGCTGGAGAAAGCGGAGATCCTGGAGATGACGGTGCAGTATCTGCGGGCCCTGCACTCGGCGGACTTTCCCCGTGGCCGGGAGAAGGGTAGGTGGGCGGGAGTGACCTCCCGCGGCCCCCGCCGGGTCACTCGTGGCATGGAGGCGGCTTTCTCCGCTTCTCTCCCGGCCAGACCCTGAGGAGCTCGATTCCCTTCCCTTTCCTTTCCAGCAGAGCTGCTCTCCGAGTTCGCCAATTACTTCCACTACGGCTACCACGAGTGCATGAAGAACCTGGTCCACTACCTGACAACGGTGGAGAGGATGGAGACCAAAGACACCAAGTACGCCCGCATCCTGGCCTTTCTCCAGTCCAAAGCACGCTTCGTTACTGAGCCTCTCTTCACGTCCCTGGGCTCCATCCCGGAGCCGGACTTTTCCTACCCGCTGCATCCTGGGCCCGAGTGCCCCGGGCACGTCCACAGTCCCGCCGAGGGCGTGCTCCAGCCGCCCTCGGGGGGGCCATTCCCCTGGCACGGCGCCGCCCGCAACCCCTCCCTGCCCTACCACTTGCCCAGCGCCGCCGTACCCCTCGCCAGCCCCGGCCAGCAGCGCAGCACTTTCCTCTCATCCGTGCAGGGGCTGGACCGCCACTACCTCAACCTCCTCGGCCATTCCCACCCCAACGCGTTCGGGCTGCCCCCGGGCCAGCACCCCTCCATGCTATAGAGACTCGTCCCGCCTGAAAGAACACCTATTTATGACCGCGGACACTGCGGGTACCCGGGCGCACGGGGAGGCTGCCAGGGGCAGGGAGATGCGCAGGGGTCCCGGTTGGCGAGAAGGAGCCCCCGGGGGCCCAGATCTGCCCCCGCCCGCCCTCTCCGAGGGCCTGAAGCTGCCCCCACTCGTTCGTCTTCCCACCTCCGGGTCCAGTGCCTGTACAAGTGATGCCTTGGAATAAAAGTTTATACCCGCCGCTGCTTTTTGTTTCCGTGAGGGAGCTTCCTCGGGTGGCGGTGGGAGTCTCCCCACGTAGCCACCAGGGCAAAGAAACCCACGAGCGAGAAGTGGTCAGCGAGGGCCAGGGAGCTTGCTGCACGCACCGGCCGTGGCCGGCGCTTCGGGCAGGCGGGGCAGGACGTGACGGGCCGGGTGTCGGTGCCGCCCGGCTTCTGCTCGCAGGCTGTCACCGGAGGCTGGGAGGGAGTCCCGGGGTACTCCGGAGGTGGCGGATGCCGCATTCGCCCGCAAACGCTGCGGGTGCTGCCCTCCCACGCTCCAGTGTCCGAACCGCATCTCCCACGTACTCTGTCAGAGAATTTCTCTGCGGCGCAGCTCGTTCAGAGGAGGATGAATAATGGTGAAGGCACAGGACGGGGCAGGGAGAGCAGGCGGCCGCTGCGGAGGTGCGGGGCGCTGAGAATAAAACCAATGGAAACTCCGGGAGCGAGTCCTTCCAGCCTCGCCGCTGGCGCGGAACCGCGCACGGCTCTCTCCCGACGGGGCAACTCCAGCCCCGCCTGAACCGAGCGTCCCGGGTGTCTCCATAGCCCCTGGAAACCGGGCAGCCCGGCCATGCCCGGCGGGGCCGGAGCCGTCGAGGGGTAAATTAACTTATTCCAGTTGGGTGGGGAGATTTGAGGAGATTTGACCTGGACTGTTTGCCCAGGTCGCGGAATGGGCTGACCCGCAATTTGTAAACCAACCCGACCCTTTATTCGGAGACAGACAAAAAGATCTTCATTACAATGAGTAAAAAGTGGAATGTGTATCTTCCATTTAACCTGTAAATACAGGAAAAGCTCCTATCCCAGATTAATGGGGAAAAGGTCACACGGCGGGATGATGGTGAGGAGTCAGCTAGGGAGGGGAGAAAAACACCCCCATTTCCTCGGGACACCTTTAGGATGGTAAATCCAGAGGGAACTTCTCTTTTGGTCAGTGTACACAGAACAATATGGACTCAACCAAACACATTCAGCAGCAGGAATGGCTGGTGCCTATTATGAAAACACATGTCCAACACTCATTTTTATCAGCACTGGGTGCAGAATATGGTCAAAATGCTTTATGACTTATATTCTGTGAGCTTTAAGCTCTTGTGATCCCACTTTGTGCCTGAAGCATAACAGATATGGCATTTTCCTGAAAATATAAATATATTCAGCATTTTGGTCCCTGTTAACCAAATTAAACAAAACTTTCCTTCGCTAAGTAGATTTTCTCTGTGGGATTAGCAGAGGGCCACCATGGTAAAAACTGGGGTCATTTGCATATAATTTTGCGAACTCGCACTGGTCCATGACAGTCTTTGTCTCTCCAATGTTGCTATCCTGCATTTTTTTTCTTTCTTTTTTTTCCCCCCTTTTCATTTTCATTTAGCTGTGGAGGATAAACCCCTCTTTGGCTTTACAATGACTTTAGGATAAAGGTTTCCCCTCCCTCCACTCTTTCAGGGCTCTGAGCTCACCCTCCTGCTTTTGGCCCCAAAATTATTTTGGAATTTGCTAAAGTCAGCTGTAGCCGGCATGGGAGCTGAGCTGCCTTCTCAGCTCAGATCCACACCTGCACACCATGCTCTGTGCACACAGGTGGGTCAGCATAGGCAGTGGGGTACAGAGCTCCCTTGGGACAGGCATCCCCCGTCTTTTGACAGAGGTTCAGCTCATTTGTCTTGATTTTATTTTGCATTTCTGTGCCTATCAGACAGAGACTTTTAGCCTTTTTTCCCCCTGGGATTTATTTTAGCTCTGCCATGAGCATCACCTTCCAGCCTTGCTGGGAGCAGGTGGGAGCTGGATGACACCTGTGCTGGGCCTGTTCAAGGCCGTACCTGGTCCCAGGTAGGGTGCCTGTCTGGGCTGGCAATGCTCATTGTCTGGCATAGGAGTAACATTTACTGGTGTCCAGGAGCAGCTAGCACAGGGAATGAATAGAGAGGAGCTGTTCCTGAAAATAAACTACTTTAATTCCCAAAGCCCTCAAAATACTAGATTCTGTGTTATGCACCTGCTTGGCTAAAAATCTTAATGGTGAATGATTTGCTCTATCACGTCCTATTCCTTTCCTTCAGCTAGCATCTTTCTCATTCCTAGACTTTCACATCTCTTTTGCCACAGTTCACCTTCCCTTCCTTTCCCATGCCTTTAATATCCTCTTTTCCACCTCCTGCTATCAGAATTCCTCTCATTTCCTCACACATTCCACATCCTACATGTACTGCAATTCTTCTCGCCCCAGAAAATAGTTGTACAGCATGGTCACACCTCAGTAATTTCTTTATGTTGAGAGCAAATAATCATGTTGGGATCAAAGGACAGCAAAATGTAAGTTTACAGTTCTGTATCTGATACTGACTCTCTCTTGCTATTTACTCAGACAGTAGAAGAGTTTACGTTGATCTTTGGAATATTGCATTACTGAAAACATCTCCAACTCCCTAATTCATCCCAAGGATTTATTTGCATTATTATTTAAATAAAACATCACCAATTAGATCAAAGGGACATAAGTAGCCTGTGCATAAACTCTCCATCTTAAAGCTTTATGTTTTCAATAGGTAACAGGCAAAGCCTGGAGAAAATTCTACTGTCTCACTTTTCCTATTTAAATAAGTAAAAAATGTTTATGGACTTTGAGCATATATAACACAGATCAGAACTCTTCTTTCTTCCCATGGTTTTACACTAGTCTGAATGCATTATTCAAAGACCTAGGGGCTTTGCTGGTAGTGCCACACTGTGGAGTTTCCAGCCTTGGAAGCAAGAGCCAATGCCACTGAACAAAGTCCCCAAATTCAGGAGAACACAGTCATTCTTGGACAATCTCATCAATCAGGTCAGTAGCTAACTAGAAAAGAGTATTTTTATTGTACTTTGGGTCCGTGACCCTGCTTGCAGCACTGGACCACAAAGAGCTGCATCAGCACACCTATAGGGACTGAGCCATGAGTTTAAAAGAAGCAACTGATGGAAAGAGAAGGAACTGCATCAGCAAAGGCTTTTAATTACAGATCTGTTCCAGTAGAGATGCACACAATAATTGGCTTCCTAGTGGTATGGATATGATCCCTTTCCCATGGTGAAGATCCTGCCAGTTTATAAGTCTTGTGGTGCTACAGCTCTGTGGAATGCTGCTGCTATTCCCCAGGCTCAAAGGTAGCCTGCATGATTTGACCAGGACCATGCCAGAAGTGCTTAGGAGAGCAGAGGGTCTTAGCTGCCAGGGTACAATGATCACCCCAATCAGATCAGCTTCTTGCCCTTCTGCCACATTCTTGGAGAGAATTAAATAGTGCCTACAAGTCCAGAGGGATTGTTTTTCCATTATAAATTGTATCAATTATAAGGAGGAGGAAACCTTCTGTTTGCCTGTGGAACAGTCTGTGTATTAGACACAGGCTGCTGAAGCAGCTGCAGGCTTGTCCAGCAACCCTTTCGCAAAGGCAGACTTTTGGAAGGAAACCCTACAGCCAACAGTTCCATATTTGCTGAGATGTAGCATCTGATCTCACAGATTTGCCTCCTGCCTTGGGTGAGTCTCACATCACCATGTCTATTTCTAGCAAAATTTCCTGCATAGTCCATGAAGGCTGTTTTAGGAAAAGAACACTAAATTCTCTTGAAGAGAAAAGGGTTTATAGAAAGAAGTACAAGAAAAGTCATTTTAATGTGTATGTAAGGTTAAAACTCAGATACCTACCCATGCAACATACTGCATACTGAATTTAACATAGGCATATCAAAACAAACAAAACTCATTTTAAAAGATGAGAAAAAGCAACATTGAAGACTATTGGATGAAACATCACATGGCAAGAAAGAGGAGTAGTTAGTAAGATTCAAACTCAGAATATTAAATTAGGAAATTTATCAAACAAAAAAATATTAAATTCAGGAAAGAGATTGTTTAACATTTATCTTCAAGCTACAGCAACTGAATGTTAATGCGCATTATGCTTAATCAGAAGTAATACAAATAATTAGGTTGAAAAAACCCACTTTTGCTAACAGGAAATCTAAACTTTAGTATGTATGGTCTGAAAAGTTAAAGGCAATTTAATTTTTAATTACTGTAAGAATACAACACCTCCAAGTGCAGTTCTAGTCTATGTAATGATTGTGCAATTAAAAAATGAGGCCCTTCAAACAAGGGAGTCCTTCAAGGCAACAGGGAATTCATTACAGGGTCTGTGACTCAGTTCTTATGCTTTTGGTGAACATTATCAAGTTATTTTTACCCCTGCTGAGGGCTTAACCCAGAGCATGTAGAAATATTTACACCAGCTAACCCTGTAGCACTTGTTTAGAGAATCTTGGTCTCCTACTAGCTTTGTGGAAACCAGGCAGTGCCTGAGCTCTGAGCTCATCTCCATCTCTTCATCTCTTGTGATATTCCAGCACCAAAATTATGCTTTCAGTCCCATAAAGGCTGCAGGTATTTAGAGTAGGGCCCAGTCCAACTGGAGCTCTTAAGGCCAGGATCATGGCAGAAAGTGCCTTCATTGTAATTCAACCTGTACCTCCATCTCCCTGCCCTTAGTTCCTAGCCTGAGGCTTAGACATTCTTCCAGAAAGTTGCAGTCTCAAGGATGAATGCTAAAAACTGTGTTCCTCTTTGGGGGCACCTTCTTATAACCACTCTGCCCCTACAAAGCAATTTCTGTGTTCTTTTAAGAAACCATTGTGTCCTGGTTCAACCTTTCAAAGGAGAGATCAGATGGTAGT